TGGAAAAAATAGTGAGAAGTTAAGGAAACTAAATTATATTTAATAGTTAATGGAGATCTACTGATGGTTTATGAACATTCTCAAAGGTGTATTACAGAAAAATAACACTGTTAAGTACAAGGACATGGGGGAAAGGGATGATGGTGACATTAATGATAGCAAAAGCAGTAGCATCAACAGTAGGAGCAAGTTCTCAATTATTGATGCCCTCTATGTGACTGGCGCTTTATATACAGTAAACCTCATGAGATCTTTCATGGTAAGAATTATTTACATATTATAAATGAAAGTGATGCCTGGGAGATCAAATAAATTACTCAATGTTATACATGTAAAATACAGCAGAGTTTGACACAGAAGGCACAATTTAGAATAGTTGCCCTGGAAATCACTCTCCCAGACCATATCTGTGCTCTGCTAGGCTTGAATCCTCCTTCTCTTCCACAATGACACAGAGCACTCTCACCTACTTCTCCCCACTCAGCTCCACTGTGGGGTCAAGGGAAGCTGGTGTGACTAAGTCTCCCAGGCACAGTGAGTGCTGAGAGGAGGTTATCTGACCAAGTTAGCCAATCACAGGACCAACTGCCCCAGGGACAAGGCAGGATAGAGTCCTTTCCCAGGGAGTTTTTCTACTGGGGTTAAGGGGAGAGCTCTTTCCTAACTGCTCTTGAAACTGTGAGGTACAGCTGCCACACGTCATGCACCTTCTACATGAAGGAAGCGACAACAAAAGCATGCATGGTGAGAGAAGGAGAAGCAGAAAGTTCTAGCTGCAAGTGATCTCCACCAGCTACAGCCTGGTCTGAAGCAAACCTGCCTAAGCCAATGCTATTCACTGAATAGCAGCGTTTTTTGTTTGGTTTTTTGTTGTTGTTTGTTTGTTGATGAATACTGGTAGTGATGAGAGAAAGGTAAAGCCAATATAACCCCAACTCCAGCAATCTTCCTACCAGGTGCTATCCTATCAATGTTCTCAAACTTGCTAACAAATATATATTATTAGCAAATTGGCACAAATATGCAACCTATAGCTTGGTTGCAACTTCTCTGCCTCCACAAGGCCCAGCACCTTAAGAAAGGATCACTCAGAAAGCAGATGCTACAAACTGTCCAGCTAGAAGAGAAAACAGAATCCCCTACAAAATAGATAGATACAGGGGTGATGCGTTCCACTCCTAAGGGGCTCCAGGACTAACAAAGATTTTTGGATTTGGTGGCTGTGTTTGCTGGTTTCTTAAATGTTATTAATGCAAGGGCAGCAGACGCTGCTATACCAAGTCATGCAATCAAAAATTATTTCTAATAATCCTTATGCTAATCAGCTAACCCCAAGATATTCATACAGATTACAATTCCTATTAAAGTTTCAAAGTAAATTACCACAAATACAACATAATGCTGCCTGTGGCAGATCTGTCCCCCAGTATCCATTCTCTCTTCTCCCTATCAGTAATAACATTCTCCACTCCAAGTTTTAACTGAACACATGGCTCCCCTACTGGTTATTACATTTCCAGCCTCCATTTTACCTAGGTATAGGCTATATATCTTACATACTGGCCAGTGAGCTATGTGAATAGAGGCAATGTGTGCAACAGATTGTGCCTTTAAAGGGAAATTTCTTGAAAACACATTCTTTGCAAATATACATGGAACATTTTTTAGGACTGACAACATGTTAAGCCATAAAACAAGTTTCAATAAATTTAAAAGAATGGAAATAATACAAAGTATGATCTTTGACCACAATGGATTAAAAGTAGAACTCAATAACGGAGGGAAATTCACAAATAGATGGAAATTAAATGACACTCCTAAACAGTCAATGGCTCAAAGAAGAAAATTACAAGAGAAATGAGAAAACAATTGAGATGAATGAAAGTGAAAACACAATATACCAAAACATAAAGAATACAGTGAAAGCAATTCTTAGAGGGAAATTTATAACTATAAATGTCTAAAAAAGAACAATCTCAATTCAATAATCTAAACTTTTACCTTAAGAAATTAAACAAAGTAGAACAACTAAACCTAAGGCAAGCAGAAGAAAGGAAATAGTAAAAATTATAGCAGAAATAAATGAAATTAGAATTTTTTTATAAAAGGAGAAAAATCAATTAAGCCAAAAGTTGTTTCTTTGTAAAGAGCAATAAAATGGACAAACCTTTAGCTAAACTAATCAAGAAAAAATTAGGACTCATATTACTGAAATTATGAATAAAAGAGGAGACATTGTTACCAACCTTAAAAGAAAAGGATTCTAAAGGAATGAACAACAAATTAGATAACCTATATGAAATGGACAAATTCCAAGAAAAACACAAACTTTCAAAACTGACTAAAGAGGAAATAAAAAATATTAATAGACCTATAAGTAGATTCATTGTCCATATGTCTCTCTCATGTAAAGAGATTGAATGGGCACCCCACTCATTCAATAAATATAATTCACTCAAAAAATGCTCATTCATTCCCAATTTGGGCTACTCAACAATTCCAAGTCCAACAGGGGAAACTTTTCTCCCATTTCTGATACTTTTCTATCTTCCTTAAATAAAATTTTATAATTGCATTTACAAATATCACCATAAAACAATTAGAGCAATTACAATCTCTAATAATGGTAAATAAGCACTACATCAAATAAAACTTAGCAACAAAGTAATAAATTGTGTGTTAATTATAATTATGCAATTGTATCTCCAACAGGATATAAATTTTTAAAAAGTTAAAGATTAATTAAATATATTCCTAGTAGTCACTAAGTACTCAAAAGTGCCTTAAATTAACTAACAAAATCTAGCTTGGTGCTAGGGTATAGTGCCATCAATGAAAACCTGTTTAACTGTTAATATAACTGTAGATTTACTGCCTTACAAAGCAAATGCATCAGGAAAAGTTTTGGACAAATATATTCAAAATTCATCATGGAAAATTAGTTTGCCCTTTAAACTAATTCTATAATCCTTTTATAAAGAAAAGAATGTCATCCCAAACCTGTTATATAAAGACACTTAAATTTTTATTTGAATGTTAATTTTACTTTGTTCAATAAACTGAATCTGTATTAAAAATGAAGCAAGAAATGAATATATGTATTTATATACATGATTGGGACATTGTGCTGTACACCAGAAATTGACACATTCTAACTGATGGTACTAAATAAATAAATAAATAAAGTGGAATAAAAAGAAAGACTGACTTTAGACATATTAAGATTTAGGTGACAATAGGGCTTCCAAATGGAAATTTTCTGGAGACAGTGTGAGAAAATGAAATGGGGTTCAGATGAGAGGTCAGGACTAGAAAGAAATACAGATTTGAGAGTTATCCTAGAGAGCAAATAGTTGAAGCCTTTAGATTTCACCAAAGGAAAATACAGGGGACCAAAATTGAATTCTGGCAATTGTCTCTATTTTAGAAGTGGGGGAAGGAAAAGAGGAAGGAGTCATTGAAAAGATCAAGGAACACTCTATGACACTAAATTCACCAAATAGTTTCAAGAAAGAATGGTCAAATAGCAGTGCTTGTTAAATGCTGAAGAAGGTTCTTATTTTGCTTGAGTTTATTCATTAGGGCTGGTGACTAAGAGATCATGGATGATCTTTGAGAGAACAAATTAGGTAAAGCCAGAGGAAATGAAGATAGAATGCAGCAGGTCATGAGGCAAAAATTTGGCAAAGAAAATAACTAGGGAAGATAACTCTAGGAGAGGACAGGGTCAAGTAAATGACCTCTTTCATTCATCCCAAAAATGGGTGAGACCTATGAAGATTCCATCAATTAGCATTCCATCCAGTTGCAAAGAACTCAAGTATTTTCATTTTAAAATAATCTGTATTCTGCAAACATTTGAGTTTATTGTAACATATTAGAAATGACTCATGGTCAGGGGGATTGCCAAGGTGGCAGAGTAGAAGGAAGTGGTGGTCACTGCCTCCCATGAATACCACAAAAACTACATCTACATATGGAACAATTCACGCAAAATACCTACTGAACTTTGGTAGAATATCTCTTATTATTGGACCTACAAAGAAAATCCTCACAAAACTGGATAAACAAGTTTATACTGTATAGTTCAGGGAACTGTATCCAATATCTTATAGTAACCTATAATGAATAAAGCATGAAAACAAAAACAATTATGACCGAAGCATTGTGCTGTACACCAGAAATTGATACAATATTGTAAACTGACTGTGCTTTAATTAATTAAAAAAAAGAAATGACTCATGGTCTAATTTCAAAATAAGAAATGGCAATTTGCTATATTACAATGGGATAAGTGAAAATAACATCAGCTACCTTTAAATATATTTCAAGAAACTGGTTATGAATTATATATTAATGGCCTATGGGATAGCAATTTAATAGCATGCATCTTTGTGTGCTTTATGTTTGTCTATGTGTGTGAGTGTCCATCCATGTGTACACTCAAAATATAAATTGTTTTTTTATTTTATATTTTATTGAGTTATAGTTGATCTACATTATATAAGCTTCAGGTGTACAACATAGTGATTCATAGTTTTTAAAGGTTAAATTCCATTTACCATTATTATAAAATATTGGATATATTCCCTGTGTATACAATGTATTTTTTCAGTTCATTTATTTTATACATAGTAGTTTGTACCTCTTAACTCCCTACATCTATCTTGCTTCCCATTCCTTCCCTATCTCCACTGGTAGCCATTATTTGTTCTCTATATCTATGAGTCTGTTAGTTTTATGTAATGCTCATTAGTTTCTTTTATTTTTTTGGATTCCACATATAAGTGATATCATACAGTATTTGTCTTTCTCTGACTTATTTCACTTAGCATAATACACTTCGAGTCCAGCCATGCTGTTGGAGATGACAAAATTTCATTCTTCTGATAGCTGAGTAATATTGTGTAAGTAAATATAACCAGCTTCTTTATCCATTCATCTCTTGATGGACAATTAGGCTGGTTTCCATATCTTATACTAATCTTTTACCTCCTTAGATAGGTTTATTCCTAGCTAAATTCTTTTTATGTGAATGTAAATGGGATTGTTTCCTTAATTTCTCTTTCTGATAGTTTCTTGTTAGTGTATAGAACTACCACAGATTTGAATTTTGTATGCTGCAACTTTACCAAATTCATCAATGAACTCTAGTAGTCTTTTGGTGGCATCTTTACGTTTTTTATGTAGATTATATGTCATCTGAGAGCAATGACATTTTAACTTCTTCCTTTACAATTTGGATTCCTTTTACTTATTTTTCTTGTCTGATTGATGTGTCTAGGACTTGCATTATGTTGAATAAAAGTGGCAAGAATGGGCATTCTTATTTTGTTCCTGATCTTAGAGAAAATGATGTTAGATGTAGGCTTGTCATACATGACCTTTACTATGTTGAGGTATTTTCCTTCAATCCCCACATTCTGGAAAGTTTTTATCATAAATGGATGTTGAATTTTGTCAAAAATTTTTTCTTCATTTATTAAGATGATGATATGGTTTTTATTCTTCAATTTTTTATTATGGTGTATCACATTGATTGATTCATGGATATTGAAAAATCCTTGAATCCCTCAGATAAATACTTGATCATGGTGTATGATCCTTATAATGTATTGTTAAAATCAGTTTGCTAATATTTTGTTGATGTTATTATCATTTTGTTAATTGTTTTGGGGTTGTTTTGTAGACATTTGTTGTTCTTTTCTTATTTTGTTCTGTTCTCTTGTGACTTGATGACTGTCTTTAGTGTTATGTTTGGATTCCTTTTTCTTTTTTGTGTGTATCTATCATAGATTTTTGGTTTGTGATTACCATGAGGTTTATATATAGCAAGCTATATATCTACGTGATTGTTTTAAGTAGCTGATCTCATAATTTCACATGCATTTTAACAATCCTGCGTTTCTGTTCTTCTCCCCTCATGATTACTGTTTCTGATAATATATTTTACATCTATTTGTTTTTGTGTAACCCTTAACATCTTATTGTGGATATAAATGATTTTACTACTTTTACCTTTTTACCTTCCTACTAGCTTTGTGTGTGGATAATTTTCTACCTTTACTGTATGTTTGCCTTCACTGATGAGATTTTTTTTCCTTTTGTAATGTTTATATTTCTTATTTCTATTTGTGGCCTTTTTTTTTCTTAGAGAAGTTATTTTAACATTTCTTGTAAAACTGGTTTGGTGGTGCTCAACTCTTTCAGTTTTCTCCTGTCTGTCAAGGTTTTTATCTCTTTATCAAATCATAACAAGAGTCATGTCAGGTAGAGTATTCTTGGTTGTAGATTTTTCCTTTTAATAACTTTAAATATATCATACCACTCTCTCTGGCCTGCACACTTAGTGTTGAAAAGTTAGCTGACAGTAATATGGGAGTTTCTTTGTGTGTAACTTGTTGGTTCTCCTTTGCCACTTTGGTATCATACCTTTATCTTTATTGCCATTGTATTTACAGCATGTCTTGATGTGTTCCTCTTTGGGTTATTCTTGTTTGAGACTTTCTGTGCTTCCTGGATTTGGATGCCTGTTACTTTTCCCAGGTTAGAAATTTTTTTACCTATTATGTCTTCAATTATGTTCTCAGCCCCTTTCTCTCTTCTCTTTCTGGGACTGTTAAAATGTAAATATTAGCTCACTTGATGTTTTCCCAGAGGTCTCTTAAACTGTACTCTTTTTTTCATTCATTTTTATTTTTTCTCTTCACCATCAGTGATCTCCACTATTTTGTCTACTGGGTCCTTGATCCATCCTTCTGTATAATTTAGACTAATGTTGATTTCTTCTAGTGTATTTTACATTCAGATATTGTATTCTTCATCTTTAGTTGTTTTTTATATATTCTCTTTGTTAAAAACTTCTAACTTCTTGCTCTGTGAATCCATTCTCCTGAGTTTTTCAATCATCATTTTAATCACTATCCTGAAGGCCTTCTCAGATCAATTGGCTACCTCTGCTTCACTTAATTCTTCTGGGGTTTTATCTTGTTTCTTCATTTTGAACATGTTCTTCTGTCACCTTATTTTGACTAAGTCGCTGTTTTTATTTTTACGTTGATTACATTTCCTGACCCTGGAGAAGTATCCTTTTGTAGGAGATGTCTTATGTGTCCTAACAGTGCTCTCCCATTCATCACTAGAGCTATATGCTTTAGGGAGTCCCCCTATGAAGGCTGCATGGGTCTTTCTGTTGTGATAGGCTGACTATGTGGGCAGTGTGGTAGGCTTGGTTGGCCCCCAGTCAACCAAAGGGGCCTCATGAGGAGGTTATCTGTCACTAGTTGATGGCATCAGGTCATGAGGTGGCTGAATGTGTAACCCCAGGCAGCCCTGAGAATAATGCTGGCTTACTAATGGACAGAGTCAAGATCCAGGAGCCTCTGGGGTTGTTGCTCACCCATTGATGGATGAAGCCAGTTCCTGGGGCTAGTGCCAGCCTACTGATGGGCAAAGCCAAGTCCTAGGGTCTGGTTGCAAGGCCTGGGGTTCCCAGAACTGTTGTTAGATTACTGGTGGGTGGGGTCAGTTCCTGACAGTTGTCTACAGGGTCTGGGGTGTCCCAAAGTTTCTGTTCACCTATTAGTGGATGGGATCAAGACCCAGCCAGTCTTAGGGCAAGATCTGGCCTGCTGTTGGGTGGGCTGTGCTTTTCTTGTGGCTAGTGTCTGCCCCCTGGTGGATAAGGCTGGGACTGAGGCTAGACCAGGCTCCCTGGTGGATGCGACCAGGGGCCAGTTAGTCCCAGTTTGTCTTGGTCTGCCGACTGCAGGCTGCAGTTTTCTTGTGGCTGGTGTCTGCCCCCTGGTGGGCGAGGCTGGGCCCAAGGATAGAGAAGATTCCCTGGTGAGTGGAGTTAGGTCCTGGGGTCTCTGACTGAAGGGCCTTGGGGTTCCAGGTCTAGTGTCTGTGCACTGATGTGTGGGGCCAGGTCCTAGGCCCTCTGGTAGGTGGGATCATGTGCTCAGGGAGGGTCAAGGCAGTCTATCTGCTGCTGGATGGGGCTATGTCTATACTCAGTTGCTTAGACTGAGGTATTCCAGCACTGGTGCCTACAGACTGTTGAGCCAGGACAGGACCAGGTCCTTGGGCTAATAAGCTAGAGGGAGGATTCCAAAATGGTGATTGCAAGCACCAGTATCCATGTGGTAGAAGGTGCTCCCAAAAATGGTTGCCAACAGTGTCTATGTTCCCAAGGTGAGCTGCAGTGGCTTCCTGCCTCTCCTGGAGACTCTCAAAGACCATTAGGTAGGTCTGACCCAGGTTCCTATCAAATTACTGCTGCTTCTCTGGGTCCCAGTGTGTATGAGATTTTCTGTGCTCCCTTTAAGAATGAAGTCACTATTTCTCTTCATCCCTCTAGGACTCCCAAAAGTAAGCCTCACTGGCCTCTGAAGTCATATTCTCTGGGGTCTCAACTTCCTAGTGCAGTATCTTTGGGGATCCCAACCTAGGGCTTATATTTCTCACTCTTTTGGAAGAACCTCTGCAATTGTAATTATCCTCCTTTTTGTTGACTGCTTAACCTGGTGTATAGACTTGACTATATCACGACTCCATCCCTCCTATGTATCTGTGGTTTTTTCTTTATTTCTTTAGTTGTAAAAGATTATTTCTGGTGGAGTCTAGTCTTTTTCATCATGGTTGTTCTGGAAATAGTTGTGATTTTAGTGTGCCTATAAAAGGGGTTGAGCTCAGAGTCTCTATTCCCCCATCTTGCCACCAATTATTTTTTATTGTTTTTTAAATATCCAATTCAAATTTTATCTCTTTCATAAAACCTTTGCTGATCACCCCTGTATGCATTTGTGTGACTACTAATCTGACATCTGTTCTTTTTACTTGGATTTCACATTTACTGACTTGTCATATTTCTTCTGGTGTTTTCTCAAACTGTCCTTTAAATGTTGCTATTAAGCTTTCATCCATAGGTCTTGTCTAGTTCTCCCTTCCATTAATTGATAAAAATCTAAGACAAGTGTTTCCATTTTATTAATAGTTGTATCCCTTAAACATTTAGCATAAGTCTTTTATGTAGTAGAAACTCAATGATTATTTATTTACTTTATTTTTAAAATATTCTGTTAATTTGCAAATAAGTTCCATGTATTTTCACATTCTTGTCCCATGCAATGTAGTCATTTTAAAAAGTAAACTAATAGCTAACAGAAGTCATATGTAGCCTTCATGTTCTTTTAAATTTTAACTTAATTTTAAATTTTAACCTTCTGTGTATTTGAATGGAAGTAGACTTTGAAAGCCTTGGAACGATTATTGATCTATTGGACAGTTTCCTCTGTACTTTTGGTATCTTTTAGCCTTCATCTGTAACATTGATTTCACTCTTAGCTCCTACATATGTATCGTTGATTCAGTCAACATCTCTGGTTCTTATCCACTGAGGACAAAATCATTTTCAATCTGCCCCTTTCACTTATGAGTTATTTTTCCATTTTAGTTAGAAATAAATGCAGACCAAATGGAAAGACTGATGTCATAGACTTCACAAGCAAAGGGGATTTGCACTTGGCAAAACAGCTACAAATCCAAATGCCTACTTTGTGCTTTTTTTCCCTGAATGTGTATATCTAAAGCATAAGTGTAGCTCTACTACTAGGAACTAGGTGAAGGATTCTGAGAGGTTGGTAGAAGAAGGAGGGAAAAGACAAGTGAGGAAAGAAGCAAGTAAAGCAGAATTCAGGTAGCAAGATGAAATGCAATATTAGAAGGGAAAAGAAGAGGAAAGCTTTTCTTTTTCATGTTGAATCCTTTCAAACACATATTTCATCTTTGTATGATGTTCCCATTTTGAGTAAAAGAATCAAATGGGAGAAAACTTTATTCCTCTCTCTACCTACAGGGCAGAAATTTTCTAATATAGCTCTTTCACTCAAAAATGGAGTCCTTTGTCTTAAAAAATGACCAACTCCTCTCTCTTGTAATTTCTTTCTAGTTTAATTGAGGTATGATTGATGAATAAAATTTATATATATATATGTATATATATACACACACACACACACACACACACATATGTATATATATTTAGGTTACACAATGTGATGCTTTTTAAAGGTGCATAACTTGATTATTTAA